AAGCTCGGGAGGCGGCGCCGGGCTCCCGGGCCTCGCTCCCGCCGCCGCTGGGGCGGCCTCCTCCTCACAGCCCGCCGGCCCCGCTTACCTCAGCGCGAGAATGGGAGGCGGCCACGGCTCCGCTGGGATGGGGGCGGCGTGGACAGGACGTTCCTCGGCCTTTCCACTTATCACTGGTTCTGGCTTCAGGCACGACGCGGGCGGAACAAACGGGCTCCACTACCCGCGGGGGCCGGCCATTGTGCGACGTCATCAAGCCGCGACGGCCGTACTGCGGGCCAGCGGGCTTCCCTCGCTAGCCCCGCCCTCCTCGCGCTTTCTTCCGGCCTCTGGGGCCCCGCCTCCGCGGCGCGCGCTCTGGAGTCTCCGCTGCTGCGCACGCCCACCGAGGTCGGCCTGCGCCTAGTGGCGCGTGCGCAGAGTCTGCCGACCTCTGGTGGTAGCTTACCGGGATGGGGAGCTGGTGGAAGTGAGGCAGATTGTGAGCAGGGTAGAGAAAGCCCTTTGAGGCTCTTGGTGTGCGCTTGTGGACGCTTCAGGACCTGAAAACTTGGATTTCGGTTTTGTTTGTTTGTTTTGTTTTTTCTGTGTATCCCTGGCTGTCCTGGATCTCACACTGTAGACCAGGCTGGCCTCGAACTCACAGAGATTTATCCTGCCTCTGTCTCCCAGAGTGCTGGGAGGTGTGCGCCACCACCGCCCGACTGGGATTCGTTTTTGTCAGACCCGAATTTCCTGTCTTATTAAATATCAATGCTTGACCAAAAGTGTTTTGGGGACTGGAGGGTAGCTCTGAAGTAGAGACAGCACTGAACAAGTGTGCTCAAGGCCTTGGTACGCCCCCTCTTCCCCAGAGAGATATTTTTGGAGATAAGTGTAGCGTTTTGAGTGGCGCTAAATAGTCTTGATCTCGTTAAATGTGATTATCATGACCCAGTGTAATTGGGGCTTTGCTGCTAATGCTGGCTTAAACCCCCTCCCTCATCGCTACTAACAAAGGGTAGCGAGGTCATTGGGTACTGGCCCCTTACAAATCTTGGAGCTGATCTTGGGTTTACATGGTTGGGGGCTGCCTGTCATCCTCGGACAACCTCAAGGTGAAAACAATCTAGATGCCCATAAATTGATGAAAAAATAAACTGTTCTGTTCTTACAGTGGCACATTAATTCAGCCACAGAAAGGAATGAAGGTCTGGCACATGCTATAAGCGCAGAGGAACCCTAGAAAGGTGCTTGAGAGAAGCCAGTCATGAAACCCAAGCGGCTGGGTGTGCCTGTGAGGGATTTTTTTTCTTGATTGAATCATTTGAAGTGGAAAGAACCCCCCCCCCCTTTAATCTGGATCATTTGAGGTGAGAAGATCCACCTTTAATCTGGGCCACACCTTTTGGTGGCAGCCTACATAAAAGACATGGAAAAAGTAAGCCCTTGTTCTTTGCCTGCTTGCCCTTACTCTGGCAAGTTCATTGGTATTAGGGCTACTTCTTCAGAATTTCAATGAATATTGAAGACCAGTTGAGACATCCAAACTTGGTGGACTGAATCCAGCCTACTGGATTCTTGAACTTGGTAGCCAGCATTGTTGAATTGACTGGGCTGCAGCATGTATGTAGTTATGTGTGTGGATATATATATATATATATATATATGTATATATATATTCATTCTGTCAGTTCTGTTCCTCTAGAGAACCCTGACTAATACAGTACTGAACTCTGAAATGATGAGAGGAGATAAATACTTCTTTCATAAGTTGTTTATGTCAGGTTTTTGGTCATAGCAAAAATGCAATTAACAGGATGGAGTGGTGAACTGGGAAACTATTGACCTTCTAGATGGATCTTGAATTTTCCTCCTGTTCTCAATGTGCTCCACCCCTGGTTCCTGACTGAGTCCATGCTAAAGATCTCCCTTCTCATTCCTGTCCCTGCTGGGGACTGTCCTAGTCAGTCAGAGTCACATTTTCTAACTCAATTTCAGTCACCTCCCTGATGGTTTAAGACTCCTTCTGTGGCTTCTTTAGCCATCAGATAAAACCTAAACTAATGCACCAACTTCCCTATGGCCCAGTGCCATCTCCCTGGCACCATATCTTCTTTCCTGGCCCTTCAATTTGCCATCTAATCTTCTCTGTCCCCAGGTGTGCAGGATAGTCTGATGTCAACTTGACACAAGCTATATTCATCAGAGAGGAGGGACCCTCAACTGAGAAAACGCTGCCATAAAATCCAGCTGTAAGGCACTGTCTTAGTGATTGATGGGGGAGGGTCCAGCCCATTGTGGGAGGAGTCATCTCTGGACTGGTGGTCCTGTGGTCTGTAAGAATACAGGTTGAGCAAGCCAGTAAGTAGCAGCCCCACCATGGCCTCTGCATCAGCTCCTGCCTCCAGGATCCTGATCTCTTGAGTTCCCGTCTTGACTTCTTGCAATGACTGACGATGCTGTGGAAGTGTAAGCCAAAGAAATCCTTTCCTCTCCACTTTGCTTGGGTCATGAGATTTCATCACAGCAGTGGAAACCCTAAGACGCCAACTCTTCACTCGCGTCTCTCAAACTACCTGAAACTCTTTTGTCTGATTAACAATTATTCATCCCTAAGTCTTACCATGGCTGTTTTTTTTTTCCAGACACACTCCTGACACACTGGAGCTAAGTGCTACCTGCATGGACCACTCAGCCCTGCCAATGTGGGTGTGTCCTTGGCAGGGTTCTACACCAGAAATCCCGGTGGTCTCCGCTTAACAGGCCCAGGCGATTCTGATGTTCAGAGCATGTATGGAGTACCTTGACCTTTGGATCCAAGAGACATGGATGAGAACAGTCACAGAGATCTTATAGTAACTGGAAAAATGGAAAAAAAAATCCTGCAAATGACCCAAATATTTACCAAAAGACACTATTATTAATAGTGTCTACTAATAATATTAATAGTGTCACATAATAAACTAATATTATGTACTACTTACAATGTTGCAATGGTTAAAAATGATATGAATCTTGAATACATAAAAATAATATTTGGAAGTAAGGGCGAAGCTCAAAAATGATATTGAACTGAAAGGTCAAGTGGCAGAAGAAATACAGATGATCATTGTTTCTGCTGTGGCAAACACCATGACGAAAGCAACTTGGGGAGGAGAGAGAGGGTTTGTTTCAGCTCACAGTTTATAATCCATCAATGGGGAAGTCAAGGTATGAGCAGGCGCAGTCATTGGAGGGTGCAGATTCCTGGCTTGTTTCTGTGGTTTGCTCATCCTGCTTCCGTATAGCACCCAGGACCATCTGCCCAGGAGTGACACTGCCTCCATGATATGAGCCCTCTTATGCCAGTCATTAGCCAAGGAAACGCCAAACAGACTTGTCTGCAAACAATCTGATGGAGGCGGTTTCTGTATTGGAACTCCTCTTTACAAGTAACTCCAAGCGCGTGTCGAGTTGGCAAAAAACAAAACCGACTAACCAAGACAATCATGCTCACATAAGACTATGATTGTGAATATTTTTGGAGGTGTGGAGGAAGTGAAACACACATACTGTAGTAAGGAGGCCACTAGCTAGTTTCTGGCCACTTAGCCCTGAAATAATCACACAGAAACTGTATTATTTAAATCACTGCTTGGCCCATTAGCTCTAGCTTCCTATTGGCTAATTCTTACATCTGAATCTAACCCATTTCTAGTAATCTGTGTATCACCACGTGGCTGTGGCTTACCGGCAAAATTTCCAGCATCTGTCTCCAGTGGGGCTACATGGCATCTCTCTGACTCTGCCCTTCTTTCTACCAACGTTCAGTTTAGTTTTCCCCGCCTACCTTTGGCCTGCTATTGGCCAAAGCAGTTTCTTCATTCATTAATGGTAATCACAGCATACAGAGGAAAATCCCACATCAACATACATGGTGTAGCCATTTTAGAAGGGAAGAAACCAGTATGAACAGGGATGGTGGTGTATGCCTATAATCCAAGTACTTGGGAGGCTTTGGCAGAACGATGACTTCAAAGTCAGCCAGGAGTGAATCTCTTAGAAACAACACAGGAAAAATATCAGTATGAATGCTAAGAAAACTGCCTGAAGCTGGACGGTGGGGGTGCATGCCTTTAATCCCAGAACTCAGGAGCCAGAGACAGGCGGATCTCTGGGAGCTCGAGGCCAGCCTGGTCTACAGAGTGAGTTCTAGGACAGCCAGGACTACACAGAGAAACCTTGTCTTGGAAAACAATGACAACAAAATGCTTGAAGAGATAAAAGCATGGAAAATAGTTGCTCCTTGAGAGTGGGAAAGGAGAGAGAGAGGCGCTGCTTTTCTACCTTGTGACTACACTGAGACAATGGGCAAGTAATAAATGTCGCAGAAAGTGTACAATCTGAGTTTTGCCAAGTTTATACCAAGAAATCCCACCTGGCTGAAAACAGCCCAACCTGTTGCCATGTTTGGCGCACATCTCAGGACATGAGGCATGGAGTCAGAACCCTGGGTCTTGCAGCCCTAACCACATCGACTCAGCCACTCCTCCTCAACAGGCCAAGTCAGCAGACAAGCAATAACGCAGAGCAGAGGAAAGAGATTTATTGAAAGCGGCTGCCAGGCCCAGGCTCTGACCCTAACGACTCTAGAACACTGTGGGTTTGGCCTGCTACCTGTTGTCTCCCTGAACCCCAGAGGAGGGAAAGTTGGCAGCTGTAGGACTCACTTCCTGCTCCCCTCACTCCAGGCTCATGGGATCCCAGGCCTAAAATGTTGCTGTCCACATTCTCAAGGCATGGACATAGCCGTACATGTTTGCCCAGCCTTTACTGTCGGTAATGTCAAGACTATCTGAAAAGCATTTTTGTCTGAAGGTATCATTTGAGAAAGGACAGCATTGCTGATCCTCTGTATGGTCACCAGAGGGTGCACCAGAGCAGGTCAGCTGCTGTTGTGTGGTTGGCTCTGATCTGGCTAGCCAGCTGTGAACTCAGCTTGTTAAAAAGGACTCATTCAGAATGGGTTGGACCTCCACGTGGTTCTGAGATAATGAAAACGCCAGGCTGGATCAGCAGGGTGCCTGCTCTCTGGAATGGAGGGGTTTATCAGTCCTGTCAGCTTTAGGCCTCTGTGCCCAGCTGGGATCCCACCTACCCTTGCAAGGGTCTCACCCCAGGGAGGTTGGACAGAGGATCTCCAGACCTCCAAGCTTCTGGCTTTTTCTCTGGCTTCTGCATTGCAGGGCTTCAGTTGGGTGAGCCAA